TTGCCGAATGTCAAGAACAGTGCCTGTTGCAACAGTGAAAGAGTCAACCTGGAAAAACAATCATTCATTCATTCTGTGCTGATGTTAAATGGACTCAAAAATACAGACAGATCAAATTATTAGTCCATGAAAAGAACAACTAACAGCAGTGTGGCTTTCTGCACTCCTCATCGCAATCTACAACCCAGTCTCGGTGTGCAAATCTTTCCAGGGCCCTAGGCTCAGACACATAAGCATGCCTTTTCTTCACAGCTTTCCCACAGTCATTCCCTTTACAAGACTTTACCCCAAACCAGCAGTACAAAACTTACTGGAAAGACTGATTTTCCTTTTTGGATAACTTTGTTTATTTGCCATATTTATAGTTGCTTCTCATTTAATTTTCAGTTTTTGTCACTTGTTCTACATCCCATGCATCTTAATGGACCTCTTCTGCATCCCAGCTGACTGCAACAGGAACTATCCTCTGAGAGCAATATAAATCTATTCCAGAGCAACTGCAGTTCCCCACATAAAACCGGGACAGTCTGAGAGCATATGGACATGGAATATACCTAGCTAGCAAGACATGGTAAAAAGGTCACAGCTAGGCCAGAGAAAGCAACAGCAGGAAAAACTGAATAAAGAGAGGAAAGCTCTGATAGCTACAAACTTCAGAGGACATAAGTTGAAAGAGTCAGACTTGGGGTGATGGGATGCAGGGAGCTACATCTATGCATAAGGATTTTATATATACACAAACATATATAACATATATATAGAAGACATATATATATACACACACACACATATAGCATATACAGTCCTCTTCAGACCTAGAGTTAATCTTGGGGTTTCTTGGTTACAATATTCCCCTGCCTTTTCAAGTAGCTATGAAACCCACAGCTAACCTGTCTCTTCTGCTTATTTTCCTTAAGGAACAGCAGCCAATATTACTACTGCTGTTTATCTGGCTAGTTCAAATGATAAACATATGCACCATGAATGTCAAGCATGGAGATCTGCCCATGCTGAGGTCAGTAGATTTCTCACACAATATAATTGCTTTTTTCCTAAGAGTGCTTTAAAAAACAAGACTACCACCTCCTTCCCCAGCTAATTACCCAGGGAAAGGAAACAAAAATGACAGATGTACTTAGAAGTATGTTAGCACTGCAAAATCAGAAGCAGAAAATCAACATATTTTAGGATGGCCTTTGCCTATGCAACCTTAATTCAGTCCCTTGTGCATATTTTGTAAGCCTAGACACTGAAATTCTAGCTTCCCTGAAGTCAGAGGGCTATTTGCTGTGGTCTTCAGAGATGCCAGTATTTCACGCAGGGGCTTCACCTATATGCTTATAAATTTCAGATGCTGATTTTGTCATGAGATATTTTTTCCTCTTTTATTTACAGAGCTGTCTGAATGAAAGTATTTTTTTTTCCTTCTATATATATATGGCTAGTGCCTTATTTACTGCACACATATGAAGTCTACACTGAACAAAGGATTTAAAATTCCTCTCAGCTGTGTTTCATCACAAAACCTTATCATTCTCCAGAGTCTTTACATGTGCTATGAAAGCATCTTTAGATTGTGAAGCACTTGCATTACCAGTTCTGCTTTGTAAATTGGAACAAGGAGCACAGTGAAATACACACAGATTTGCCTAATGCCCACTAATTCTAAGCTCTCAACTATGCTTAGGTCTGATTTATTCAGAAATCAACAGTGTTGTGTGTTTAGAGGAAAGTTTCTGTTAATTTTAGTTTCTGTTATGAGCTCTCACCATTTCTGCAAATCAAGCTCCATTTCTTTGAAGGTAGGCACCCAAAAAAATAAAGTTCACTCAGATTAGTAGTCACCCACTGAAAGTCTGATCTAATTGCCAAAACTGTCAAAGGACACAGAACAGAAACTAGAAATCTGTCTACATTTGCTGGACTCACCATATAGCATATGGGGGACAAATGAGAGCTAAATATAATGCTATCCTCTACCCAGAGGAAGTCTGAGCCTTCTTGGCCCACCTCACTTGGAAGTATCCTGACTACAAACCTCCAAACTTTTGCACTATTGGGAAACCCAAAGACAATTAAAAAATGCCAGATCAAAACTCACTGTTCCCTTCATGGATGAAATATGCAATGAAGTCAACAGGAGTGCTGTTAGTCAAATGAGGACCAGGTTTTGCTCAGGTAATACATATTTGCTGAATCATCATGTGATGTTCAAGTACAGCTATGCACTAGGAATCAAGGATTTACTGATTTAACACTTGACTTCTTCATCCTTCTTGAAGTTTTCCTATGACACCATCTTTGATTGCTCTCATTGATTAACTCTCTGACTCTGTGAGGCATCTTACCCACAGTTTTTGTGGATTGCTAAATTAAATGAACGGTTTAGTGACAAACTGATAGGTATTAATCAATTGACTAAAACAACTGCATGGAGAATGCATGCAGAGAATGCATGCAGAGAACAGGCTTGGAAGTGGTTTCTAGTAATCAGAAGTGGAGATCTCATCAGTATGCTGATGATAAGAGAGATAACAAATAGCTTATCTAGGAGCTGATCTGGACCCAGGTGTACTACTCCATTCATATGCAAGTGATATGTCAGGAGCAAAGGCATTTGTTGACTCAACTGCAATTGACCATAATGAGCTGAATCTCTTCTGAAAGGCACCAGTTGTGTTTGTTAACCTGATGGCAAATACTACAGGTCTTGAACCTAAGCCAGAAAAAGAAAGAAGCATTGAAAGAGATATTTGTGGGAAACTGCAGATAGGATTTTATATATGATGCATGACAACGTACTTAAGCTACGTAAATTAACACAATCATTAATCTTGAGATTTCCTTATGAATTGCCTGTTTGCTATTAAGGATCAGGGATACTTGTAGCTTTTGTTTACAAAGAGTAGTATTTTACCTGAAACGCTCTTAAAAAAAGGACTTAAAAATCAGTGTTATATCGGAGTCACAAATCCCTTGAGGATGGACAAAGACAAAATAAAAGAGCCTTCATTGCCCAGGAAAAAAAAACTCGTTTATAAGGAACCTGACTCACAAAAATTGGATTTAAAGGTAGCTGTTAACTAGAGTGGGTATTCCATAATGCAGGTTTTATTAGTCACATCTTCCTATATGGCAGAAATATTTCGTGTTGCTGTATGTATTTCTTACAACCTGTTCAGATACATTACCTAGAAATAAAAATCACAGAAAAACAGTGATCTGCAATGCTCAGTCCAAGGGCCAGAGTAAACAACCTTGGCATTTGGACTCTCCAGGTGCTCAGCTCTGTGGGGCATCCTGCCAGCTTCTCCTGTCACTATGCCTTACACTTTTCTGCACTCTACACAGCCACTAACATAGTGTGCATGACAGGGATGCATTCATTGCACACATGCCACATTGCATGGTCCTGGAGGAGAAGAGCAATAAAAGCTCAGGTTACTAGGCTCCTTAAACAATGAGATGTTCAGGTTCCTAAAGTGAGTCTAAAATGATAAACCAAAAAGAATAGCAGAGAGAAGTCCAGATAGTGGGACCCAAATGCCAATGGACCTTCTCAGAAGCCAGGACCATCCTACCTTTGCATTTATGTTCAGGCACTTAGAAATCTGCTTTACGAGCAAGAAAACATCTGGGTGAATATTTGCATCCATACTGAATTAGGTATAAGGTAATACACTAAGTGATCAGTCAAGGATGATCAGTGCAGCTGAAAGCCTGAGGGAAACCCTTTATAAAGGTTACAGTGTACTTCTGGTGACATTTTCAAATGCAAACTCAACAGTTACACACCTTTCACAATGAACACAAGCTGTGTCTTCCTGAAAAGCCTGCAACAGAAGGAAGAGCACACAAACCCCAGGTAATTATAGCCTAGGGGCCCATTATATATTATATTAATTTAGTGATTTGTTCCCGCAGACAACCATACTGCAACAGCAATGCAGATTTTGCTGAGCACCATTAATTCCAGGGTATGCTATAGTGGTGACTGTAAATTCTGAAGTTGCTCCTCAGACTTTTACGCAGGTAAAATTCCCATTTAAACTATGGGAAAATTTTGCATCAAGAAAGATTAAATATAGCAGCTCTCATATCTTTTCTGCTGGAGACACCACTTCCTGGTCTTTGACCTGCCTCTGTGATATGAGTGTCACTCCTCATCTGAATTTCTGGAGGGCTCATAATGCTCACAGAGCTGTCACACAGGGCTCACAACCCTACGCAGGACATCCACTAAGCTGACAGTTTAGTCTGGACATGACTGGAACTGCTGATCACACCAGTGACTGGCTGCTCCATGACGTCTCTATATTATTCCTGCTCCAGCAAAAAAAAAGTGAAAATATTGTATTGCCTGCACTGAAAATTTTCTTAACTTAATGAAGACCTTTTGTCAATTCTTATTGACTGATGGGAAGTCATCAGTGACTGAGTAAATAAAGCTATGTTCTAACATGTGGGCTTAGTCATCTATTTTGACAGCCAAATAATGGTTTAGTTTTCATCATAGTGTGTTAGTGAATGAAAATAGCTAGCAAAAAGAAAAACAAAAATAAGAAGGTCTGATTTCTCCACAGAAAATGAGACATTCAAAGAGACTTACTGGGTTTGTAAAAATAACTAAGGGAGAACTGAGAAGCTCCTACCCCAGTTTTACTGTTCTTTTGAAATGGAGGATAAACCAGTTCTAGACTCAAGCATTTTTAATCTGAATACATACATCAGAACTGAAGCCCTGCCATTATTCCATTACACAAACCAGTAACTTCCAAAGGCAGGGTGGAAGCTGGGATCAAGGACTCTCATCTCCAGCGCTCATCAGAGACCAAGTACATCTGAGACCAAATAGTATGCTTTACTATTCCACTTAATTTAGATTCCATAGATTAATTTACAAGAACTTCACTCAGAGACACAAAACAGAAGAGAAACTAAGGTGGAAGCATCAGTTAACATTAGTTCCTCACATATATTCTGAATTGTCATAATCTTACCTGTAGTAGCACTGGACACTGTTGGCCACTGTTGATCAGGCCCTCCCGGTCCACCACGTAGGATTCCTGCCTCCTCCATATGCACAGCACTGAAGAAGCACATATCACCATTAGATTATACAGTTCCCTTCTGCCCCAGGCTTTATAACATCTCCCTTTCTTGCTGCTCTTCAAAAGTCATAGCCATTTGTAGTATTGCATGATGCTAACAAATTCTTCTGGAGCATGGAGAACTGTTTTGACTTGCACAAGTTATCTTTGATTATTTACTAAAACATAATTGTGGCATAGTTGGTAAAAACAAACATACCTGCAGGACACTTTGCTTTCATTGACTGGAAGTCACTAACAAAAGGTAGTTACACACCTTCTTTGCCATTACAAGCAAATGATAAAGTGTTGGTGGGGTTACTTCTGAACTGTTGGCATTATGCTACTTTAACAGATCCCACCTTCCTGGGTTATTGCATGCTTCTCATGAGCAATTCAGAAAGAGAAATACGATTTCTCAAATGTGGAAACTAACATGGCAAATTTTACAGTGTCACATCAAGAGCACTTGGTGTTGAATGCACCAATCTGGGTAATAGCCAGCACCTTAAATGGAAGGAAAAGAAAAAAAATCTGCTACCTTTAATACAAAACTAGACACATTTGTGTGTAATTCCTTAGAAAAACAGGATTCTGTGACTGTGCCCATCTCTGCTCATCTGCTTCTCAGCTCCCTTCCACACTCCTAGTTGAACTCAATGGGCAGTTTCAACAAAGCACGGCAGACGTCAAGGTTCCTGGGGATACCAAATTTCTACAAATTTTATGACAAATCAGCTTCTTATAAAAATCATCAGCTGGGCAGGTCACACAGGTGCAGATCAGGTAAAGACAGGACTGCTGATGGGAGAGAAGTAAGGAACACAACTTCATTAGCTTCCCTACATGAATTAGCTCCCCAAAGTGAATTGCTTTAAATGAGTGCTGACTTTTCATTAATTGTTTGAGTAACTTCAGGCAAGATCTTGAACTTCGTATGGAAAGGAATATGAATCCACAGGATTTGGTTGGGAATACACAAGAGCACGCCTGACTCTGGGGACTGGTAGGTAAGATGCTCATATAGGCAGAACTCCCGCTTCAGCATCCTGCTCCCAGACTGTTTTTTCATTTTGAATAAAGCAGTCAGAGATTAAAAAAAAACCAGCACAATAGCAGGAACATAAAAGAAAGAAACAAGTTTGCCTAATAGGCCACAGAATCAAGCTTGCTCTTCTTCCTTTCCTTCTGGACCCTGAGGTTTAGGTTCCTTGGTACACAGTAACCCAAAGTCAGCTGTCCATGTTAGACAAAAGGAAATCTGGACACAGCCTCACTTTTCCTTTTTTGAAAATCCTTCTCATATCTTCAAAACACACTTTAAACTGCATTAATCATCTTGATTGCATCATGTGGTTAATAAATGGACTGGAGGAGCAGCACACTTCTATGGTAACAAGAAACAAGACAGAAAATACATCAATGCTGCAGTCTGTTGAAAAGTATCAGTATGGATGATTACAGGGAGCTTTAAAGTAAACAAAAAGTATATAATCACAGCTAAATAATTCAATATTGTAGCAATACGCCTTGACAGTCAATGTATCTAAAGGCAGGAAGCAAACACAAAAAAAAAAGCACAGATCTATAGTAGTACAGTAACAATGTAAGATGCAGTCAGATTGAATCTGTAACATTTGGAGACTGGAAGTGACAGCAGAACTTGGTTGCTTTCCATCTCAGCACAGCTACCCTCAGACTAGGGCATCAGAGGAGGCAGACAGCTTTGTCCTTTTCACAGAGGACAAACACAATTCCCTTTCATGTGGGGAAACATCATACATACCTTTGCATTCCTGCCCTTAGGGATGCAGAGTAGCGCCAGTCAGGATTGGGATGTTTTGGCTGTAGAAACAAAAGCCCAGGAGAACGTTGTTAATGTATGTTAAACATGTTGAAAAGGATATGCATCTGAGTGAGTTTGTCAGAAAAGTCTATCTGGAGCTACTCAATTTTTGGGAACATTCAGAACTGCCAAATCTTTCTGTATATCTAGAGAAACTTTCAAATGGACACATAGAGAGCATCTCTGTAATAGAGAAACTTGTTTGCATGCCAAGGCCTTTGGCTAGAGATGATCTCTGTGGAATGACATGTAATGCTGGAAACTGGTAGACAGTCATTTTGTACATTTATCAACATTCTGGGCTTAGGAAAAAAACTACACCATAAATCCGTAAAACATGTTGTTTGTTTTCCTGAATAAACTGAGGAAACTCAAGCTCCTGCACTGAACAGCATCCGTCTGAGGATGTAAAAAATGCAGCCCCCTGTGAAGAGGACACACGGGGCAATCTGTCTGCTGTGAGGTTTCTGCTTGCATTCAGTGTACTGCAGAGGACTGCACTAGATTGTATCAGATTTCCAATCTGCAGCAAGTCTTTTACCCAATGCAGACACCTTTCATAACACCAAGAACCGTTACATTTTCCGTGTTCATGGAAGGGGAAAATAGCCAGCAATACCCTTTGACCAACAAACCTCAGCATGTGCTGCAGAATGGCTTGCTAAATAAGGAGATAATTTTTTTTTTTTTTTATTGTCAGGGGACCATCAAAATAATTTTCAATGCAAGTTCATGTCTTTCAAAATTAAGCCCTAAGCACACAACAAGGTTATTTCTCAGGATTCTCAAGACATTATTCTGTAAGTAATATCACAGCCACTGCTGAACTTCAGGCACCTGAATTCAAAGAGAGAAATTATGTCCAGAAAAATAATGGACTACGCTCATTCCTGGTCTCTTGTACAGTGCCAAACACACAAATAATATACGACAGTGATGGCTTAATTGTCTTAAGTTATTGGAGGCAGATCAGAAATGAATTTGGTCCCATTACTTGGAAGAGAAAAAGAAAGTGTTGAATGCTCTGAATTATTTAAAGCCAATTCTGTCTTTTCTCTTGAGGTCTGGGGTATGCTTTTCCCTGGATCAATAGGTTTTATTCAAACAAAAATGGAGCAATTACAACTTACACTATTGCTACATCACCATATTTCTTGGGCCCAGCATCACTCAAGTGTGAGATGCTCTTGGATGATGTGCATCCTAATACTTTTTATGGTCCAAGTTACACAGAAAGGAGGAGGCTGCCATTTGCAACCACACATTAAACATCTGTGCTAAGCAATTTCCTTCCCATTTAGCCCCAATTCCCTGGTATGCTCAGGCTCTGCTGAGTTTAGCAGAAAGTGGCTTGACAAGGAGCCCATCATGAATGGTTTCGGTATTTTCTGATTCATTCCATTTTGGTCCCAGTCCCAGGGATGTCAAAGCAACCCTGAAGTCAACCATGTAGTAAGAGTTAATGAATGCGGATCGAAAATAATACACTGATCAGACCCACTTCTGAGTTTGACTTTCTTGACATCTGAAGGGTACTGACACCAGAAGGTTTGGCTTTTCCTCTGCTGGGGATTTTTTTTACAGCAGAGGAACTGCTGGTCTGAGGGTGGGAGGAAAGCCCTTTCGTCTTTTTGCAATGGGAGAGGTGCAGGTTAGTGATTTATACAGGCCTATAAGCAGGGTGAGGAGGAGGAATCTTACCACGGTCCCAGGCAAAACACAGATGAAGTGGAAAAGTCTAACATAAGCCTAGTAGGAGTGAGAAAATAAGAAAATGGCCACTTCCTCATAGTATATAGATTTTTGGTTTTCAGATGAGAGCTTTCCAGCTCTTGGCTAGAAGACAAAAACCTATGGGTTTTTTTTGCAGTTGGAACTTTCAGACATCATAAAATAAATGGGTGATGATGGCAACAGAAACTCACCAGTTAGGAATTCATTACTTATTCACTTCACACACATAGACCAACATTCATCATGTCACTATAACAGAGAAGCAACTAGGAGATGGTGGTATTTTCAAGAGTTACTATCCACAAGCTGTGGCATCTTGTGGCTACTCCTAAACAGTTCTCTGCTTGTTACTACTCTTCAAGCAGGGCTGTAGTGCTGTTCCCAGAGGAGCAGAAGAAGGAAGGATGAGACAGGATCATAAAAATATACTCTGGAGATGGAAAGATCTATTGCCACAGTTGACTTTTAGACCTTTGAGGGGCTGAGGTTTTGTTGTTCATAGAATCATAGAATCGTTAGGGTTGGAAAGGACCTTAAGATCATCTAATTCCAGCCCCTCTGCCATGGGCAGGGACACCTAACGCTAAATTGTATCACCCAAGGCCTCGTCCAACCTGGCCTTGAACACTGCCAGGGATGGAGCATTCACAACCTCCCTGGGCAACCCATTCCAGTGCCTCACCACCCTAACAGGAAAGAAATTCCTTCTTATATCCAACCTAAACTTCCCCTGTTTAAGTTTTAACCTCTTACCCCTTGTCCTGTCACTACAGTCTCTAATGAAGAGTCCCTCTCCAGCATCCCTATAGGCCCCCTTCAGATACTGGAAGGCTGCTATATTGTTGTTATTAACTGTGAAAAATTCAGTGTCTGGGGCTTCCCTAATTTTTCAAGTCTTCACAGGAAGAACAGGAGGAGCAGGCAGTTGGGTAGCAGCCTACCTTTGTCCAGACCTATTCACACCCAGTTTTACCATGTGCACACTGGTAATGCAGACTGAGATCTTTTAGACCTCAGCAAGACACACGTTTGTCCTACACTTGTGTTACAACAGGCTAATGTCCTGCAACTGGCAAAACTGGTGGAATTCCAATTTTGTCGGTGTAACCGGCTTCTCTTTTTGTTCTACTGTAGACTGTAATTCTATAAGATCCTCTGTCATAACACAAAGATTTCTTCAATACAGCTTTAAATAACATTGGGCAATTAGGAGCAAGAAAGGTAAAAAAACCAGGACCACTAATAGAAGTGACAGCATAGCAGAGGCAGCAAACCTGCTCAGCAACATTTTTCCCCCGATCAGACACAGCAGTGTTGCTTCTTATACCCCCATCAGGCATTCATGGTCTGCCTGGTTAGGTTGGCTTATGTTTCTGGTTAAAAACAGTCCACCTTTACCAGACCACCCACTGAAACCTGCCATATTTGACACGTGCTGTCACCCAGCACACAGTCACAGTGCCATGACATGATACCGCCCATCTCAAAGTAGAAATGCATCTTCAGCATAGTCCCAGGGGACAGGAGTCTGCCCAGGAGCTGTCAATGGGCTTCTCTACAAAGCCCTGTCACAGAATTTGCTGTGACAAGTGTAGCTGTGTCATAAATCAACACCACTAAGACAAGACACAGCTGGCCAGGAAGCATGAGTACAGAGAGGAAACCCGAAGAGGAATACAGACTTTGAAGTGTTCCAGATGCTTCCCACCTCTATATTCCTGTACACTTACTATGTCACATCATGTTGATGTAAAGTCACACAATCCAGCACAAAACTAAACATCATTTCCCCTTTCTCCCATCACCTGCTTTTCCTGATTTAGTAACAGCACACATCATCATACTTATGAGTCAAAATCTATCCAGGCACCTAGAGAAGTGCCTGTCATCACACCAGTTGAACACCTCATGCCAACATTCCAGTCACCAAGGTTATATTCTGCACCCACATAACCACAAGCATTATGTAACTAGTAACAACCAACCAACCCTACTAGAAAGTCTGATAAGCAAAGTGAATGTAATATAGAATGGAGCCACCCTAGTAGCAAAAAAGCTCATGCAAAATTTCACACAATTGTTTTCAAATGGCACAGAATGGGTTAATTTAAGAATCACTGCATTGATTCATGGAGAATAAACTTAGTTGAAAGTACATTGTTACAAACATTTTGCTCACTTCTCTTTTTTAGCTGACGCTTCAACACAGTGAGGATTTGCCCCTGGAACAGAAGGAATTTCTAAAATCTGTTAATGCCCTGTCATGAAAATCAATGCAAAGGCTACCATTCACTTCAACAGCTGCTAAAACAGGGCCTGCTAGAGGTAGAGAAGTGTGAATCAAATATTCGCAAACAGTTACCAGATGATACGACTGCTAAAGACACCCCACTCCATTCCTATTTCCACACAACTGCACAACAGATTGATATAAGGTGTATTTATCAAATACATCCGCTTTGAAGCAATAATAAAAGGCCTTTCATCACCCCTGATCGCACGCAGCTCTGCTTGTTTTCCAGTGAGTCACTACTGACAGATGTGGGGAAACAGAGCCTTCTATTTCTGATTTCCTTCAGTAAATGTTTAGAATTAATTTGATGTGGGGAACAAACTATTTATACGCTTAACATGTATTTATTATACAAGAAGCCAGAACGGAAACTAGAAAAAGGTGTAATTCAGAAATCCAAAGATTTTAGCCCCAGCAGTGTTCATTTCCATTCCTAACTGAGAAAACAAAGGTGAAGGGAAAAGGCAAGTGCTTCTGTAAAGTATCTTTAATGAGTGCCAAGAGAAGAAAACTGCCTCTGCTTAAGATTGTATGCAAATTTCTGCTGGCACAGCAGAACGCATCAAACCAAGAGCGTGACCCTGCTGAAGCACAGACCAAAACAGATTCAGATACTGCCACTAAACAAAAGAACATTTATAGTTAACCTTTACAATGTCAAGGGGCTGGAGAATTTCTTAAAGGCTTAAGTTCTTGAACTGAGATTGTAAGATATTCCACCTTTAATACCTTTAAAGCCTCTGTGAGAAATCTCTTGGAAAGACTGCTCCAGACAATGCTGTGGGTTTACTGGATTTAGACGCTTCAAAACATACTTGCATTTTAAAGCACTATCAAGATGTGTTCACGTCAAGTGTTGTTTTTTTCTGTATGCTTAATAGGCTTGTTTTGAAGTGCAAAATACAGAGAAAGAAGGAGTAAACAGCTGTAAAACTCCAATGAACCCCTGAATGTTACAGTCACTGATGTGCAGCTTTTGTTATGCTTTCTAAAAAGTGTCCATAGAGCATCATGCAAATTTATTTCTGAACATCACATGAAACATCATATTTTGTCAGCTAGATGTATCATTACACAAAAAAGGGTACAAGGAAATGTATAATTAGAAGAGCTTATATCTAGTTATATGAAGTATCCAGGCAGCCCACCCATCATTAGCAATGTGCCAGCCTGCCTCTTGGGAGGGAAAACTGTTAAAGCCTGTTGGCTTCATTGTTATTCCCTGTATTAAAGGGAAAAGATTGTCATGAGATGCAAGACATAATGGATGAGCTTAGCTGTACAGAACATAAGAACAAGACAGGAGGGTTGGAAAGAAACTAAGCACGAGAAGCTACCCAGACATCACTCAGCATCTTCACAGGCATATGAGAAAAAGGACTCCAGAGTAAAGCACCAAAACCTTTCCTGAAAATGACAGATATCTGCTGCAGCAGTGCCCAGTAACAAAATCACATCTTCATGCATCCTCTTCATAGCTGAATGCACCCCTCTTTCAAAAGGCAGGAATCCAGGCTGCCCCAAACCTCACACAGACCAGCAACAAAGCCACAGTATTTTGCTCTCTATATATGTTGCCTGCCTGCTCAGCTGCAGTAGTTACCCAGCTGATGAGAGAGAGATACCCATTAACCCTGTGTTCTCATTCTTATCACCAGGTTCCTGCGAGCAATAACCATGTCTAAGGTTTTCAGTGCAACTGTAAGCATCAGTACACTTCTTTCACAAAACACACTTGGTTTGAGAGATTCTTATAAACCTATAACTGACCGTACAGGCAAGGAGAGTTACTGCAGAAGTACAGGCTGTTTTTCAGAAACAAGCTTCTCTTCCACCTCCACAACATTAGCAGTACAAGTCAGAACACAGGAATCAGTGCTTCAACAGGTACAAAGAATTCCTTACCTAACCTTAATACACTGGATTTCCCCTTCCACTGCTTCCTTCTAATGACCCAATGAAGTCAGTCACAACTTAGTGTGAAGTAATTATTAACATCTTTGACCTTACTGGTAAATACGCAAAGGATTAAGACATTGCATTGAGTGTTACTGAGATTTATCCCCAATAACTCTGAAATACTTTTCTCTCACTGTACAAATGACATTTACAAAATACTAGCCTTTGTGAAACCCTGCATACAATATGCAGACATAGAAAGCCCATTCACCTGGTCCCATCCTCATCGAGCAACCAACAGAAGAACAATTTCCCAAAACTGGAATAAAAGGTGTCTATTCATATTTTCCAAAAGTAGCATACACATCTGCAATGAACTTTGTAAATCAGTGCAAGGACAATGATGCCTGTTGCTATACTACAAAGGTGAAGACATGGATTTTAAAGCCTGATTAAAAGTCCACTTTAACGAAAAAGAAAAACAGTTCTCTGAAGATCTGCTAATACAAAGACCATTATTCTTAAAAAGTATCATTGTGTTGCTAAGCAATAGATGGCAGCTTCCACACAGGTGCTGAGTCTGAAACAAGGGAAAGACATAATTTTCCAGGATGTAATTAACTAGGAATTAGTAATTAGTGAATGCCATTACATTCACCCATTTTCTCATGTACACCTGCTTTACATCTTCATAGCATGTGCTACCACAGCACAGACCTAAGAAAAAAACTTGTGATGAGCAGAACTTGTCAGAATTTCACCTTGTTTCAATCATGCAGATCTATTTGAGTAATTGGTTACTCTTTCAGCTCTGTTGTGCTATACATCTCTCTACTTCAAGTTTGGGCTGGCTTTGCTGCTGCTGCCTGATCTGCACTGCTGTTCAAAATTTGCTAATTCATTGCATTCAATTGAGTGATTCCCAAAATGCAATAGGATTCTGTCTGTTGAATTACTTTCCTATTTGTTTTGCATCCCAAGTGAAGCTATTTTCAATTATTAGTTCTCTTTTTTCTCCAGAAAAGCAGGTGCAGGGTGTATGTTTCACATTTGATTCTTCAGCAGACACACTTACACAGTATGTCTCACACTCCCTCCTATATCAAACAGATTTCAGGCATTTTGTTGCACTCAGAAAGATTTTAAGGTGAAAAAACTGCATAGAAAAAGAAAAAATACACTTCCCCCCCCCCCCCCCAACCCCCCCCGTCACCATGATTTACAAAAAAAATAGTGCATTCATTTTAGATGGATTAATACTGAATGGACAATCATTACTCTTTAAAAGCATTTTTATGGAAGACTTACTAGTCCTTAAGATTTGTGCATGTTTGTGTAACTAAACAGTTGAAAAAGATGCTAACATCTTCATAGGTAAAGAAATATAAAGAAATAAATTATAGCTCTGTGGCAAGAATACAAAAGCCAGGCTCCTTTCTATCACACCACAGTTACCCCCCTAGATTTCCCACTTCTGGAAACACAGCACGCGTTAGTGCACAAACTGATCTTATTGCTGCCACAATCGTAGGACACACACAGTAATCACAGGATTTCCCTTTAGTGGACCACATTTAGTCTCTTTTGTGAGTGCTTCTGGGTTTAGTTCTAATATGTGTAGAAAGCAAACTGTACAGAGCATGCAAACCACACATTGACTGCAGACTGCCTGTATGCTAGCATAAAGCAACCATTAATTCTTCGCTGTGGGAAAATATTGGAAAGGTTAATATGCTGCTGGTCAAACCATAGGTATTAAAGAATTTTCAGCAGCAAGCCAGCAGGTTAGAAGTTGTCACACTGTAACATAATGACAGGAACTTGCCATAATTCTCCACAAAGATGTCACTGGCTTGTCACTGCCCAGAAAGCATGAAATGCGGCATTGGGTAGAACAAACATTATCAAAGGAGGGACTGCAGTTTTCAGATAACTAAAACATGCCCATATTAGGACACAAATCCTATGTTATTGCAATGATCTAAATTCAACAGCTTTGTCTAGTGAAACCACTGAAGCAGAAAACATCCATAACTGACATAATCTATTGATTTCCAGCCTAATCACATTTTCTTAATTTATGTTTTCCTGCAACATTAGTTTCAGCATCCAAAATTTAAGACCACCTGTTATCCTCTAGCACTATGGCTGCAGGCAGTTTTAGATCTGTAAAAGAAAAGAGAGGCAATACTGTGTACAGCATACACTGTGAAAAAGAAATGAATCTCAAACAGATGCACATACTGAACTTACTAAACAGACCCTGAAAGCCCCAGCATTTACCTACAAACAAAATGTATTGCACAGATCAAATTCATTAAAACCATATTTCACAGCTTTGTGTGAGTGAGCCCGGAAGGGAATACACTTTAGAGATTTCCAGTTTGAACCTACAGATTTGCTCAGAGCACTGTGCTGACCATTTATCAATGTAGCCTCACCTCATTAGGCGTAATGGAGTCATTTTTAAGTATGATCAGGTTTTGTGCGCTCTGCCCACTCTGTCCTGTCAGATGCCTCTCAGTCATGACTGCAGAGGGACCAGTAGTTCCTGTTGGGCCACAGGTATTGTAAAACATAAAAGTGTCACTTCCCGAGCCCGCTGTTAGGCATGCCTTATAGCAGTAGGTCTTAGTGAGAGACCCATTGCCCCTCACTTCAATGAAATGGGGTTGTACTTTTAAACCATGAGGCAACCTAGCATCGATGTTGTTGTTGGCCTGCTTGTATAATTCAGCAGGGGACCGTTCTCTGACCCCACAGAACCCTCCGCAGCAGGAGTCCCCATACAGACTGTATCTGTAGCACTTGATAACAGTAAGCCCAATGATTGTGAAAAGGAAAACAAAGGAGATGGCGCTCAAAGCAATAATGAGATAAATAGTGATCTCTGAGTAATTGCTTGGACTTTTTAAGTGCCTTCTTTTGTCAGGGATGATTTTGGAAACTCTGTCCACCACTGCAACAGTGATGGCTACTGATGAGGACATCGGTGGTTCTCCATTGTCTCTCACCTCCACCGTCAGGTTGAAAGTAGGTGTGCTGTCTTCCCCCAGTTTGCGAGTAGTCCTAATCTCCCCAGTGTGGAGCTCTACCCTGAACAAACCTGGATCTGAGGTTTGCACCAGGTGGAAGAACAACCAGGCATTTTGTCCTGAGTCCCCATCAATGGCTATAATTTTGGTTACCAAATATCCAGCATATGCTGAGCGTGGGATCATCTCCAGGGCTGCTGAAGTGTTGGTTGAGGTAGGATACAGAATCTGTGGAGCATGGTCATTCTCATCCACCACGTAGATATGGACAGTGACAGTGCTGCTCAGTGATGGGATCCCAGCATCCTGAGCCTGGACAACCACCTGGAATTCCCTTAGTGTCTCATAATCAAAGGACCTGACAGCATACATGTCACCACTATCTGATTTAATGGAAACATAGGAACTGACAGGTAGCCCTTCAATCTCCCCATCTAGTAGAGAATAGGTCACATAGGCATTTTCGGCGACATCTGGGTCAGTGGCTTTGATAGTGCACATAAAGGCTCCAAGGGGGTTGTTCTCAGGGATGTAAACTGAGTACACAGGTTCCTCAAATCGTGGAGGATTGTCATTAATGTCTGAGATCTCCACATGGATCACCTTCTGGGAGGAGAGAGGGGGGTTCCCAGAGTCAGTAGCCGTAACTGTGATATTGTAGGCTGCTGCTTTCTCGTGGTCCAGATTGCCCTGGGTGACCAAGGTGTAGGAGTTTTTGAAAGAGTTCAGTGTGAAGGGGAGGCCAGGGGGAATACGCAGGCTCACCTGCTTGTTCAGCCCTGAGTCCTGATCAGTGACACTCATCAGGGCCACCACAGTTCCTGCCTTTGCATCCTCTGGCACTGGGCTGTACAGAGAAGTCAGGACGACCTCAGGAGCATTATCATTGGCATCCACAATGTTGACTAGCACCTTGCAGTGTCCAGCCATAGAGACAGGGCCCTGATCAGCAGCTTGCACATAGATCTCATAGGAAGATGCTTCTTCATAGTCCAAAGTGCCATTAACCCGCACCTCCCCTGAGTGTGGGTCCACACTAAAGAGCTGCCTTACCTTCTGTGGGGTGTAACTGCCAAAGGAGTAGATCACTTCCCCATTGGAGCCCTCATCAGGGTCTGATGCATTGAGTTTGACCACCAGCGTGCCAGGCAGGGCATTCTCCAGAAGGCTCACAGTGTAGGTGGAGCGGTCAAAGGTAGGTGGGTTGTCATTGGTATCCACAACACGCACAGAGATCTGAGCTGTACCTGACCTGGGGGGGTCCCCACCATCCACAGCAGTGAGCACCAGCTGCTCCAGGGCACTCTGCTCCCTGTCCAGTGGCTGCTGCAGCACCAGCTCCAGGAGCTTGCTGCCACTCTGGAAGCTTTTAAGGTCCAGGGCAAAGTGGCGGCTGGGGCTGAGCTGGTAGCTCTGCACAGAGTTGGTGCCCACATCAGGGTCCTGGGCACTCTCAATGTGGAAGCGGGCCCCGGGCATGGCAGACTCACTGATCTCCAGCCGGTAATCCTGGCGGGGGAAGCGCGGTGCGTTGTCATTGATGTCCAGCACCTCCACCTCCACGTTGTGCACCTCAATGGGCTGCTCGATGACCAGCTCCAGGCTGAGGAAGCAGGTAGGGCTCAGTTCGCAGAGCGCCTCGCGGTCCATGCGCTCCCGCACCAGCAGTGCTCCGCGGCCCAGCTCCAGCTCCAGGTACTGCCGGCCGGTGCCCGAAGTAAGCCTCGCTCCCCTCGCCGCCAGTCGCCGGGGATCCACGCCCAGATCGCTCGCCACGCTGCCCACGAAGGCTCCGTGAGGCAGCTCCTCCCGCACCGAGTAGCGGAGCGGCCCGCCAGCCGTCCGACAGGCGCACAGCCCCAGTAGCAGCAGGCCCAGCACCACCGCCCCGCCGCGGCTCCGCCGAGCAGCCGCCGCCATGGCCGGGGAGGTGCCAGGGGGGAGCTGCCGGAGCCGCCTCGCTCCCTGGCCCGGCCTCACTCCCCGGCCGGCCTCACTCCCCACCGCCGCCCGGTCGCCTCATGGAAGCGGCAAGCGGCAGCCGCCGGCCGCCCCCGGCTCCGCAGCCGCCCGGTCCATGCTCTCCGGCTGCCTGAGACGGCGGCTCCCAGGAGGAGGAGAAGGAGGAGGAGGAAGGAGGAGGGACCGGGACTTGCCGGATCCGCTTTCTCCTGGTCCAGCTGCTGCGCGGGAGGAGGCGGGGGAGGCCGCTAAGCCGAGGCTGGCTCCAGTTCAGCACCTGAGTAGGGAACAGCGACACGGCTGCAGGCGCAGCCGCCCCGCGCTCCGCTGTGGACCCCGGGTCCCCCGCCGCCTGCTCCGCCGCACCCGCTCACCCACGTGTTGCCGCCCCTCCGTGAGCCGGGCTCCTCGCTCCCGGCGGCCGAGGAATCTCGCTGCCGAGCCGGGGGGGAGGGCGGCTCCCGTACCGCTGCCGCCGCTCGTCTCCGCCCCGGTTTCGCTGCTGAAGCTTCGGGGGCGCGGGGAGGAGCGGGGGAAAAGCCGCAAACCGCTTGCACTTCTGGACCTGCTGCTGCAGCGCTGAAGTACATCCGCTTGGGAGAGTTAAATCAGCGCAGGGCTCCGAAAAAAAACGGGCCTCCAGCCAGGTCTGGTGCCGTCTGTGTGTTGCTGCAGTATGTTTGACGACCTCTTTTCTTGGAGACCTGCCCCTCTGCTCTCTCTGAGATTCATCCTTGCTGCAGCACCGTCCCTCTGCTCAACCTCTGCATGCCTCCCTCCCCACTTCCACCTCCTACCCCACTCACTTGGTAAAATTCTTTGAGTCACACCCATGAGTTATGAGCATTTAAGGTGGGCTTCAGTTCCTCACCCAATGCAATACACAGGCTCAAGGGGATCAAGTGCAGCTGGAGAGAAGATAGAACATGGCCTGTTTTCCAGTTACAGTTTTTTCCTCCTCTGCCTTTGTGATGAAGGATTGGCAAAAAAACAGGGCCACACAGTTGAACAAACTCAGCAGCAAGGTGGAGGTGCTGCAGCTGCAAGGAGTTTTACCCTAATGCCACAAATCCCAGCAAAGACAATAAACTTAAGCATTCATTCATACAACATCTATGTCACTAAGCTGACATATTTAGTAAGACAAACTACAGAACAGAGTCCTCCAGGGGTGAAATGATGTTGCACCTATTATCCAGTGCAGAAACTGCTTCCCTGCTAGTATTCCTTTCCCTCTTGTTTTTTTCCCTGCTTACCCCATAAAGTCTTTTGGAATGTCCAGTGAATCCTCTCTGGATCGGGCTGGTCTATCAAGGGAGGTGGTGACCCCAACATTCAGCTAAAACCTCTTTAATTGCCCTTTGTGAGCCTGGGCATCCCTCACCACATGGAATGACTTTTCAGAGCACAACCTTACACTATAAACCCCCCGAAGTTTTTACTATAATGCACCTGATGTACAAGCCCCAGAGAACAACTGCCCAAATCCTGACTCAGCACTGCTGAGGATGATTAGCAGTCTATCAGCATTTATCAGTGGCCACCATTATCAGAAGAGACAACAGTAAGAAAAGGATTACCCCATTTATGTTTTGGCTGATGGGTTTATTTACTTCTCATCCCATTTTTGCACCCCTAGTATTTGCCCTCATAGTTATTTTAACGTGTCCAGTACCCCCAGAGTCTGCAAATACTGCTGTGGAACCACCCAACCCTGTTTCTCTTTTTAACTAAGATAAATGTAGGCCTGTGCAGACCAAGAAAGACATATAGAGATGCCAAGTGCCCAGAACACCTGGAAAACTGCCCATTTCATCCAGTTGTCTAAACTGGAGCCAAACACTTTTTAAAAGAAATCAGCTTCAAAGTTTTGGCTAGCTACCCACCTTCAAGATCACAATATTCACAGATTCAGAATAAAATGCTCCGGTAGCCTCACAAACCAATCAACCCACCAAAGCTACCCCGCTATAAAAAAAAGCAGCTATAGCAACACTAATATACATGGACTATGCAGCTGCGTCCAAAACACTTGCAGACAGCACATGAAACAGAAGCCAGAATGGGCACACCCTCAGTATTCAAGGAATCTAATAGTGGTTTCATTCAGACAGTCCACGGGTCATCTCTGCCCCACACCTCCCATGTGTCCAGCCACAGAGTCCGCTAACAAACACACAGCACACCAATGAAAGGTCCAAAACCACAGCAACATTGGCAACATGTTGGTAGAGACTCTCTGGAAACAGACAATGCCCACGCAAAGAGGTGGTAAGAAAACAAAGCTCATCTCTGTAGGTAACACCTTCTTAGCCACAAGTTGATTTTACTTACAGTGTGGGAATGACAGCAATATCACATCCTGGGGTTTCTAATCCAGTGAGGAATCTTTCCCACTGTTCCTAGACCCCAGTGAATTACTTCTGATCCAGGCTGTGCTCTAGAACATTCCAGCTGGGTCCCCCCAGCAAGGAAGGGCTGGTGAACTCTCAAATCCTGGCCCACCTCACTATTCACATTCTACCTAGGTTCATCTTCCTCACTATCTCTCTGCGGACAGCTAAGACTGTGCACTTCCAAAGTTTTGCAAAATACCATAGAACATAAACCTGAAGAGCGATAACACACACGCAAGTAATTCCTCAGCATATTCTCAAGCATATTCCATAACATTTGCATTCCCATCAAACATGTTTCTAAACCCCAGGTTCTTAGAAAACTTGTCTTCTAATTTCAGAATTGTAAACCCTAGGTTGTCAGCTTCTTGCCTCTGTGTAAGTTTTAGAGCACCAACCAAATAAATAGGTGCTCTGATTTTTGTTTTACAAACTAATACTGTAGCTTGGCTTTTTTACAGTAACACTGTACAAATGTAAAAGTCTTTCTCCAAACAGTAGCTTTATACAGTTTATGCTGACTACACTGTTTATAAGTGATATACTGAAACTTGCTCTGTTCTGAGCAAATGTTCCCTGAGTCTCTTTACATCTCTATAAAATTCAACCATGGCCACAATAATTTTAGTTATTTCCTTCAGCTTCAGTGGTAATGCTGAGTCAGTCCTGCAGGCCTTGATTTTTAATTCAAGAAAAACTTCCATTAAGAAAACACTTCAGGATCTGGGCTGTAGCAATATTGATTTTTGTAGTGAAAGGCAAAAATTGAAACACAGAAAAACATAATTTCGGTATTAACTGAATTGAGGCTTAGGGGCTTTCTTGGTTTCTTCTTTCCCCAGAGTTTTGTTTTCAGTAATTTCTTGAAATTTCATCTAAGCATCACATTTGAAACACCTTCACAGCTCACTAAATAAAAAGGTACCCAGTGGGTTCAGAGCAATGTACATGAGTAAGAGAATCAGAATCTGTCCCTGCAGCAAAACCAGCTGATAAAACCTACCAAGCCCAAAGATCCATTTGCTGATAAACCTGATAACCCCTGAAGAGGCAGAATACTGCTTGTACAGAGTACTCGTATACACAGGCCTACTGGGCTTTGCTAACATACAAAATTGCACCACTTTAATTAGCTTGGTTGAATTAAATGGTATGAGTCCTTTAATGTGAGTACAAACACACTGGTGATAAAATCAATATATTCTTTGCTACGAGTTCTGCAGAAGAAAATCAAGAATATACCAGGATTTTGATACATATCTATGCTAGAAGTTGTAGTAACCTAACTATTTTAGTATGAAAAGTCCTCACATTCCTATGCAAGCCTTCCTTCAAACAGTTCTACATATAAATATGCTTGAATTAGTAGCAGTCTAATGCAGTGCCACAGAAATATTTCTGTGCAGGTATTTCCCTTAGCAGTGACACAATTATACACAGATATAGTTCTGTAGGTATTTACAGCTTTGAAAAGTTCAGACATCTCAAATCACACCTGTACAAGGAATGCTTTCATATAACATTGTAACTAGAATCACCTAAATTTGTTTGAGCAGCAATAAACCTATGTTCAATTTGCTTCATTGCAGAACACTGCAGAGTCCTTCCTCTGGCTATTTCTGAGTCTCAGGCAGCAGAAGGAGGAAGAAAAACATATTAGAGAACAGGAAGAAGTGAAAATACAACACATTAACTGAAGAACTCCAAGGTATTATCAGCATTTGAAAAGATATTTTGCTTCTTTGTAACTAATTTCACCTTCAGTAACTCACATCCCTTAAACATGATATCCAGCAACTCAGTTGTCACGATGTAGCTCCTTCTGAACTGGTAAGAAAGCCCCAGCTCCGAGGGTCAGGGTCTAGATTTTTGCATGTTTTCTTGACAGAATGTAGGTTTTTAGCAGCAATGAGATTGCTTGTATACCATATAAATGCACACACCATTTCTGCCTACTGATAAAGACGGAGACAAGTCTAGAGAATCCATATAGTTTAGCTGGTAACAAGCCAGGAAGTGGTGTCATTCTCTAGAAAAAAAATTACATTTTCTCTATGTGCCTGCTTGCATGTGGTGCCTACAATTTGTCTGCCTTACTTAGAATTAGATCAAGTCCACAGAAAAGGAACATCCATCAGTCACAGCCCTTATTATATCAACCACAGTGGAAACTCTAAAGAATGACTCAAATTTGTGGAGTTTCTTATATACAGGTTTTCTTTCCAGTGAAATGGTGGACTGTAGCACCATTTTCTAGTCCGTGGGTACTCATGAGACTTATAGATAATATATCTTGATAATTTCAGGGGATGCTCATGCTACTTCTTCAGTCCCACCCCACCCATCTTTCATTTCACTCTCTTGGGATTGCTGCATTCTTCTGCACCCTACTTACTTCAGTCACAGACCCTCTCCACTTTTCTCTGAAGAATATATACACTATTGGGTCTGGTGACTTCCCATGTCTCAAGTACTATCTCATCAGGAAGATACTACCCAGAGATGATAAGGCAATGCAAAGGCAGGCGTGAAAGTGATTCATACCCTACAGCAGCTCCCTGCCTGACAAGCTTCCATCAGTCTTGATTCAGCAATACCAGCTCAGAGATCCCAAAATATGAG